GGGCTCGAGCAGGATGAGCAGTCTGCATTGTAATGCCAATCCTCCACAGGAAGAAACCCAGTTATGCATGCCAGTGGGCACGCTCTCTGGACTCTGTTTTTAGGGAAACACATGCTATTGGAACAGAGCTCAAGACAGAGTATGGAGTTTAACCATCCATCAGTATATGGTGATTAATACAATTATTTGCAATAATCTTGGTTAAGTGAAAATATTGTGATATTGCAGCATACCGCCTGCATGATTTTTAAATAAAATAAATAGAACATGTGCTGTTCAGAAGTATTTTAATTTGAATTCTTTATGATTTACTCAGTTCATCATTGTCTCTGTTTGATTAACAGTTAACAGACTCGGATGGCAGCTGGAATGCAGATCTCACCCTCAGACGACATCAGTTCATCTCTATACATTGTTGACTCAAGGGCAGTGTTGGTCTGCGGTGTTGATATCTGAAATATCTCAACAATATTGGATGGATTACCATAACATTTTGTGCAGACATTCTTGGTGAACAGTAGTTAAAGTCCACTGACTCTGTTGATCTCCTGACTCTTCGACTCCATCATCAGGTGACATTCTCCTTGTTTTCAGTGAAATCTCTCAACAGCTGTTGGATGGATTGCCCTGAAATTAGAGACAGTGTTGTTCCCTTCAGGCTTATTATAAACTTTAGTGATCACTTCACTTTTTAACCTTCATCAGGTCAAAATTGTTATCAGATTTCTGACCAAACACCTGCCCAACTAGTGATATTCCTGTTGGTCTCAACTGCTGATTAGCTAATGTTAGCATGCTAGCACACACAACTGAGCTGGTGAACAGAAGTAAACATTACACCTACTAAACTTCAGCATGTTGTCACTGTGAATATGTTAGCATGCTGTCTAGACTTGTATTCTTTGTCCGTGTTTCCTAAAACAACAAAATAAATATCATCAATTCAATCTGAAAATAATCGCAGATCCAGAATGTCTCTATTAAGCAGCTGCAAGCGTTAGAAATACGGAGAGTGAAAGCAACACAAACACCTGGCAGATACGTTTTCTGACTAATATGATAAAGCAGTTTGTTAGTCCTGTAGCGAACACTGAATATGGGAATTGTTACACGAAACAGATTGTCAATGACAGAACGGACCGGTCTGATCAAGCTCACTACAGAGTTTGGCAGTTGATGGTGGAACAGCTTTCTCCCTCCTCCAAAACACTCACTATACATCATACACTACTCACAGGGAGGCCAGAGACAAAGCAAGAACTGTCCCACTATTTTCACTGTCTCTGCCAACGACGTGTCACGATTTTGTACGGGTTGCGACGCTGAAAAGAATCAGTTACAAACCTAATTTTGTTACTTATTTCATTTCAAAGGAGAATAAAACAGCACGCTTTGCTTCCATTGGAAGGTTCTGCCTGTGGAACTAAATGAACCACACAAAGTACACTAACAATAATGGATGGGTTGTGAAAGCAATTCCTGTTTTTCTCCATCTGGAACATTAAATGCAGAAGAACATTGAATGGCAATAGTTAGCCAAACAGCTGTATCTTAAACATTTAAACAAAATGTTGCAGTGAGACTGTAAAAATTGGCTTGTTTTGCCACCAGAAAATAATGTATCACGTCAAAGCTGTTGAATTGTATTTAACTCCTTGCAAATATAGATCTCCATTACGCTTTCCTATGGCAGCATTTTGTTTTAATGTTGGTCTGAAACAATTTCATTCAGAAGAAAAATGTATTTGTTATTCATGAAACACATTGGAGAGGACTTTAACTGATAAAGATCACAAAGCCTTGAACCTTTGTTCAAGGCTTTGTTTGTTTTCCCCTTGAGTCATTTTGCTGTTTATGAAGAAAACACAACATATTTGAGCTCCTGCATACTTATTATTGTTTTGCATTATAAATACTTGCTAAGCTAAAATAAGATAAATTAAACTAAGTTAATGTAAATTAAACTAATCTAAATTAAGCCAAACTAAAATAAAATAAAATAAACTTAGATTAGATAAAATAAGGTAAGGTAAACTCAGCTAAGCTCTATAATACAATACTATGAAATATGTATAACAGAACCATCATAGAGAATACTATGATATAATATATACAATAATAATATAAAAGCACAACAATTCCCAACCAGAGTTTGGCCACTTCAGGCCTAATTCCTGGTAGTGCACATGTCACATGACCCATGTTCAGTCAGGCTTTGCAGGCTGTTAAAACACACAATGGATACCTTTTAATAACAACTCAATCACCTGGAACAAAAGGCTGCTAATGTGACAGCCAGCCAAATAAAGACAAGCTGAATCTCACCGTGCAGGTGGAGTTACTGTGCAGGTTAAATTAATTGTCTGTCTTATTGGGAGGCAATATGTGAGTAGATTACTGTTAGATAGCTTAACTGGACAAGTTGAACAAAAGAAAAGTGTTCAGCTTACGATTGACTGCCATGGTGCCCCTTTGGAGTTGCAGAGTTGTTAGTCATGATCTTATCCAATCAGCCATCCTTAATGCTTGTGCTATGGGCATTACTCTGGAGAGGACAGATTGTCGTTTATTGTCAGTTTGATTTCAAACTGGAGATTACTCACGCAGTAGCTGTTGGCCCACGCCTCTCTTTGTGTGTGTGTATGTGGACATACTATTTGAATTTGTGCCTTCAAACGTGTGTGTGGCCATCATTCACTTTGACAAACGTTCATGAGTAGCCATAGAGTCATAGATTAAAAGGGTATGTGTGTTATTGAGACCAACATACACAGTAGTCATCAATAAACATACAAAATAAGGAAAAAATAGAGAAGCTGTGAGCATCCATAACAGTGATTTTGTCTAGAATATGGGGAGACAGAATACCATCATGATCATATATACTCTGTATTCTTTCAGTGAATTTGGGGGGGGGGGGCTATCAATAAAAAAACTGACACATTCCCATTTTTAATAGGCCTATACTACTTTTAAGAAGACTTTTAATACAAAAGTCCTGCAATAGATCCTCCCTATCCAGGTATAATTATAGGGTAAGGTGTATATATATATAATATATATATAAAAAGTGTCAATATAATGTATTGAAACAGTTTGTTATTGAGCCTACACTCATTGATATAAATGGGGTGGACAAAATAACAAAAACACCTGTGGTGAAGGTCCTCCAGCCTCCAAAATGATCATTAAGCTAGAAACAGGCCCTCTCTAAAAATTTTCAACAAAACATGAACAACCGCAATATAGAGCTTATTGCAGATCTATTGTATTAATTAGACTGTATTTATTTTAGCTAGATGTACCTACTATACTGACAACTGAGTGTAGAATGTAAATTGTGTAAAACACCATAATGTATTTCTCAGCTACATGGAACCGTTTTTTCGGCCACACGGGGGCAGTGTAAACATGCTGTGAACAGGACCCGGATATCGCTTCAATATGGCGAACTTGTTAGCCAACTGCTCCTTGTTTATATGTCATCCAGCCAACATGATGCAACATTATCATTTATGTGGAGTCTTGTGTCTGACCACATGATGAATGTAAATCCAATATTTACCCTCTTTTTAGTCTGTTTGGTCTCTACCAACTCCTGAAGGAAATAAATGTACCGCTAGCTTTGTCTGTCTGCCATTTGGTGTTAAGCAGGTTGTGTAGCCTACAGTCATTTTTTTTTAATCTTATTTGATGAAAACAACTGTCTGCTAGTTGAGAACAATATGAGAGTGAACCAAAACAGTAAAGTTGCAAAAAACAATGAGCTAACGGATGCTAAAACACTGGATAACTGAAGGGAACGGCACAGTCCCGATAATTAACACACAGGTAATTGAATCCAGTGTTATGATAGAAAATAATCATTATAGCCAATCAATTGGAGTTAGCTAATGTATTTATCAACAACTGTAGGCCACTCATTCATTGAAGCATATGTAACTGATGTAAAAAAAGGATAATAAATGATCAACAATATACGTAGTATAACGCAGTTGTATTAAGACTGTACTATGACCAGTGAGTAAACTACATCTGTTGATGAAGACCACAAGAGATGGCTGAAAGCTCCAGAACAAATCTCCAGAGCAAATCCAGTAAGTGAAGTCCAAAATGAAGCTCATGAACACCATCATCAAATCAAATGAATATGTTTACAGCTTGTTCTGTGTCGTCAAGCACTCATTAAGCGTTCACTCCAGATGCTTCATAAGAAAATATGATTATTCACAAATACACAGTCAACACTTAAAATGTCCTTATATGTGCTAACAACTACATTGTAGTGTGTTGTGGACTCATGACATACTGCTTTTCAATGATCACTTAAGGTGATATCGCTGTCACCAACGTGTGTGGCTCTGACGTCAGTATTTTCTAAAATCCCGTCTGTGGGGATATTTGTTTCTCTGACTCATTCACATAAAAGTAATTTGAAAAGAACATCTGAACAAAAAGGGGTTGAGTCCATGAGTCAGTCTCTCCCACAGCGCTGAGTTTACTGGTGATGTGGTGATTAGTTGAAAATTGATTCAGATAATCAATAAATCGTTTGAGTGAAGCAAAAATGATGGTTCTGTGATTTGCTATAGGCTATATAGTAGTGAAACGAACATCTTTGGGTTTTTGAGGATTGTTTGGATAAAATTACTTCATTTGAATATGACACTTTGGGATCGGGGACATATTTATTTTCATGTTGACTATACGATTAATCGAGAAAATACTCGGCACATTAATGACAGTCGCAAATACTAGACTGCAACAAATGTATTTTTCTGAATGAATTTCCCCTTTAAAGTGTCTTTCATCGAAGAGCATCACTCCTCAGACACGAGACGGAATAAGAATGAAAAAACACGCGCATGTTGCCTCTCTGTGCGCAGAATGATTCATCAACCACCGTTTGCTCACGAGACAGTGATTTCGGGTCTGATAGTTCGTTTTCGGAGCTGAGCTGTTTTTTTTTTTTGTCGTGGGCCCTCGGATGCCCCCCCAACCCTACCACCCCCCCCACCTCTCTCATCCCGCGTCTCGACGGACCAAACGCTGCTGCAGCAGCATCACCGGCAGCAGCCTCCAAACTGCGTTTTCCCTGCCGCGATGGATCGCTCTGTGAACCGGTGAGCTGCTACCAGAGGACCGGCTGAACTGTTCGGGGAGGGGGGGGAGAAGGACCGACAAGCGATGGCCGCTGCGAGAATGTGCCATACATCTAAGGGATAAAAAAAAAAATGATATATATTTCCAGCAATGTTATAGGATCGTCTTGTTTACCTTCCCGACAGATAAACAGCCGGCTGACAGTGATATTACGGCCGACATGTAAGAGCTGGATAACTATTCCCGTGTGACCGACTCCCATCTGCAGCTCATCACATAACATGAAAAAGGTAAGCTTGTTGTCAGGTTCGGGGTTTACATTGCGGGCGTTGCGGGGTTTCTGTCAAAAATAATAAAATAAAAACTGACTGCTCGATTGGAGCTCATCAGGCTGCATTGTTGCATCGATAAACCCCCCCCCCCCCCCCTTTTTTTCCTGAGTTGAAATTGACGATTTGCCTGCTTTAAATATAGGTCGCTCTTCACCTGTCGACTCACGAGTGCGTCTGTAGGCTATAGCTGCAAGATGCCGATATGTGACTCGTAAATGTCACGTCAACAGCCATGTCAAGTTGACTTCTAGAGCCAAAAATCATCAGTTCACTAAAGGGATGAATGGCAATGCAACATATTTAAATCTGAAACATTTGCAAGTTATAATATGTGTATAATCTGTGTTGGACAAAGTTATTAAAATCCATTGCTTTCGTGATTTCTTTAGGAGGAAAAAAAACAGCAAGTTCATTTAGAGTTTCGAAAGGGGAAAACAAGTCTCTTTTGAGAACAATTAGGCGCATCTCTGTTAGCTTTTAACTCGGTGCAGATTTTGAATTAATCCGCACTAAATTACCATTTACTTGTAGGCTACTTGGTTGCATGTTTTTTTTAAAAATCAGTACAAAATCAGAATGACCACAGCATGCTCCTTCTATATCTTCGCTTTGAAGTTTCCTTGCTCTCATCGCTAGAATAATTAGAAAATATAACTGTTTTTTCTATATGTGAGAAACATGTTTCTGGGGGCCCCATGTCCTCTGGATCCCTGACTGGATGCCATCCACACTTCTCTTCTGATGCTGAGGATGAGGCTGCATCCACTTAGGAGGGTTTTGATCAATAACCAGTTTGTATCGAGGCCAGTGTTTCAGTAGTTGTTCTCAAACAGGAGTCACTACAATTAAAAGCCCATTTTGTTATAGTGGAAGGCTGATTAATAATTCATCCGCAGCTCAATGGGACCACAAATCTGTGGATGGCACGCCGAAGGATGTTAGTGTAGCAGTGTAGCCTCTGCTGTTGGCAGCGGAGTGATGGGCTAATGGGTTTACACGTCATGATGTAAGCTTGATGGTACACCTTTTTCTGTTTCCTGAACCTGTGTGATAACCAGCTGGAGAATCCAAGCACACACACACACACACACACACACACGCGCACACAGTAGAAACGGTATACTGTAAAAAGCTGTGGGTTTCCTGTATGAAGCAGCTCTGCGGTGGTGGACTGTAGGCTCTCACTCAGGTGTCAAAGTCATATCTGCTGCCAAGGAGCCAACAGCCATGATGATAATGTACCAGAGAGTTTGAAGAAAAACCCAGAGCTGGCTCCGATCCAGAATGGTGGGTGTTTTATTTTTTTTTAAACTGGCTTAGTCAGGGCTACTGCAGGGAGTGAATAGATAGGATGCTGTACAGTATCACACACATCAGTATGACGTCAAAGGGCACAGAGCTTGAAAAGTCTTTTCAGACCAAGACCCTGTGGAGTCTTACAATAACTGAACCAGTACTGCGCAAACAGTGATATTGAATACATTAAAGGGACAGTTCACCCCAAAATCAAAAGTATACATATTTCCCCCCTCTTACCTGTAGTGCTGTTTATCAATCTGTTGGTGTGAGTTGGCTAGTTTTGGAGGTATCGACCGTAGAGATGTCTGCCCTCTCTCCAATATTTTTACTGGCCCTTATATGGTCACATTGTGTTTTTTACGTTTGTAATTCTGCTCCTGTTAAGCACTTTGTGACTAATGTCTGTGAAAAGCGCTTCATAAATAAATATTATTTACTTACTTACTTACAATGTAATGGGACTATATGGCACTCAGCTTGCGGCGCTCAAAGCGCTAAAAGATGCATGTGGAAAACTTTTCTCTTTCCAGAAATCATGACGCGGTTACTCAAGATAATCCACAGACCGGGTCATGATTTCTGGAAAGCAGTGGTGCCTGGTGACTCAAAGTATTGGGGAGGACAGGAGGAAAGCCAAACCACAGCATCATGTTACTATATCTAGTTATTATCTCTTATTTTTTCTCCATTTTATGTATGCTCTCAGTGCGGCTTTATACAGTATATGTGCTCTCATGTTCCTAATTCTTATGGGTTTCAGAATTTTTTTAAATTTTTATTCTGCTAATCATTGAATCTGAAAAGCCCTTTGTGCTCAAACAAAAGTGCTATATTTTTTATTATTAATCCACTAGTCTGCTAGTTATCTCAATTGTTTCTGTCACCCAACAACAGGCTGTTGTGATGGCTACTGCTGGTAGCTAGCTTCTGCTTGATAAAAAAGGGGACACTTAAATCTGGAAAAAAATGTGACTCTGTTTGTAAAGGCCAAAATTAAATAGATTTATTTAGTGTTGTGTTAAAGGAGTTATAATTTATTATCTAATAAGCTACGATCACTTTACTGCCAGTTCGTCACGTACAAACAATGTTAAAAAATTGAAGGTGATGTTTGGACCAACTCAATGTCAATATTGTATTCTGGTTGTTGATTGGTAGCTTAATTTCACGTGTTTTTTGATGTCACGCCCTAAAGGAAGGAAAGCAGGAGCTCGTTCATCTCTGTCCTCCACCGCCACTTACTTACATGTCATGCAGGTGTCGCTGTTGCAGCATTTTGATCATGGATTGTTTTTCTTAAAAGAGAGGAACATTTTTTGTAAATGATGCTGACATTTGGTAATGGTTTATTTCAACCATTTACTCTCTTTTTTATACTTTGATCTTCGTCTCGCGTTAGAGCTTCTGCATTATAAGGCCTCCTGAAGTATGACTGCCCGTGCTGGGGCGCATTAGCTGTATCATGAGAAGAGAAAGAGCAGAAATGTCACAAGGTATTGGCCTAATTGGCATTTCAATGAACAGGGACGCTAAAGCCGCAGCCTCTTCTCCCTTTTCTCTTAATCATTCTGTTTTATTAACTTGCATGGCTTCTCTTTGCCATTCTCTCTACTATATCAGTCGTACATTTTGTGTTGGGTGTAAGGTCAGTTGACCAACACAACAAGGTAATTACAATATAGCAGAATCACCAGCCTTCCATGTCACCCGTCACGCTGTGTTGTAGTGAATGATGTAGTGTTGTTCACCGAGCCAGTATGGATTATTTAGCTTCCTACGTTATGATGTATCACACTCGTGTTATCAGTATGGAGGATTTGAAAGGACAATACTAATGTGTTCACGGCCTGTGTGAGTAACTTTGACTTTGTCTAAATACACTAGATGTATAATTTCAAGCTATTGTTTCTCTATATTTGCCATAGCAACAAGCCATCGGTGTAACTTCAGTTCAGGCAGAAGAATTCTGCTCTGAGCTCAGCCATGTGCACACTTCCTGCTCTCTGTGGCAGACGTGTCTCAGAGCTCCATCTGATCAGCTATTGTCTCAGCGCCTCCTTGTAAAATTTGTGGATGAAGAGGATTCAAATGGAGAGCAAAATAGTGTGATTTTTCGTCCCCGAGGAGAGCAGCTCATCTCGCTCTACATTACCTCAAAGGAGAGAGGTTTTATGACCTCAGTAATGCAGCTCTCAGTCCATCTCGTGCAGGAGCTGATGTAGTGTTTGGAGGTGATTAAAGTCGGCCTCCTCTGATGCTGCTCTGTGCTGCTGAGTCAATGACCTTTGCTGCCATCAGGTCACTGCGCTCAGCAATCTCCTCCTCTCCTCACTTTTGCTTTTGTCTCCTCTCCTTTCCTCCTCCTCCCCCCTCTTTTCTCCTCTCCTTTCCATTCGTCTCCTCTCCTTTTCTCTCCTCTCCTCCCATCACCTCCCATCTACTTTTTTCCCCTCTCTTCTCCTCTCTCCTCTCCATCGTCTCCTCTCCTTTAGTCTTTTCTTCCCCTCCTCCTTTTTTCTCTTTCCTCTCCTCTTTTCTCCTCTCACTTCCTTCTGTCTCCATTACTTTTTTCTCCTCCCCTTCCTTCACCTCCCTGCACCTGCCCTCTTCTTTTTTCCTCCACTCTACTCCTCTCCTATCCTCTCTATCATCTCGTTTCCTTTTGTGTTTACTCCCTTCTTTACCATTCCTCACCTGTCGTTCTGTCTCCTCACTGCTCCTCTCCTTTTTCTCCTCCTCTCTCCTTTCATCCTTTCCTCTCCTCACTCCTCTCCTTTCCTGTTTAGCAGTTTTTTTGAATGCAGAAAGGACAAACCGTTCGCTACGTCACACCAAACAACCGTCTTTCCTCGTTGCATCTCAGTATTCGTCCAATCCAAGTTGCACTTCTTGTATAAGAGCTGAAAATAGAAACAACTGTTTTACAGTAGGCCCCTGACAAGCATCTTGTTATCGCGCCTGTATCTGTCATTTTACAATAAGTCCCTGCCTGGGCTGCGTTCGCTGAATGGATCCTCTGACACAAATTTGCATGTTAAGCTGAACGTTCCTCACCAGGGACGATTAATCAGCACACAGCAATTAATGAGTCCGTGTCCCCTGGTGATTAATTATGTCTCATGTGTCCAATGTGAGGAGGTCCCAGAAACAGCTGTTTGTAAATGTCAGTGTTTGTATGGAAGTCAGTATTTTTCATTCAACTTACGAAGAATTATAAACTTCTCGGGGACGTTAACCATTACATAAATCACATGGACATTCGTTGATGAAGATGTGGCTTATTTGTTCCGCTTGCAGTTCACAATCCTATGCAGCAAGAAACTAACTGATACGGACAAGAAATGAAACAGCCTTGATGAGGAAGCTGCCTCACACGACTCAACGAGGCATTCGCTGTCTGAAAGAAGAAGCAACACAGAAAGGCGCCAAGGATGCTGCAGAAATAATGCAGGGTGATTTTCAAAGCTCAGGGATATTTTGTTTTGCCACTACAAAGAGAATTTCTATAACCTTTGCTTGAATTTCTGTGGCACTTCTTGGTGATTGTGTCTGTGGGTGGTTTGTGTGCATATATAAAAATACTTTTTTGGACAGAGACAGAGCTCACAGGGTTTCATTGTAATATCTGCTGACCTTGAATCACAAGTTGGCTTTAATTA